CCCGCGGCCTCGCATTCTGCACGCCTCCCTCCTCCCCCCCTGCCAGCAACAGGCTGCCCCCTCCCCTGAGCAAAAGGCTGCCGAACAGCAGACAAAAGCAGCCTCTCCGCCCCTCCTCCCCCTATACATGCTGGGCTCCCTGGGCAAACAAAGACTCCACCAAAACAAACAAAGTGCTGGCCTCATTGTGTTAGCAAAAAAAGGACCCTCCTCCTAGAACCCTGGGTGGTGTGTGGAAATAAAGCTATTAGCTCAAAGCATGGTGCAGAGCTGTTTGGTATTTGATGAGTTACTCCTTTAGTCCTGAGTTTGTCACAGGGACAGAAATAGATGTGAAATCTTCTGAACAGGGGAACAGACAGCAAAACAAACATTAGAGGGGAGTTAACCTTTCCCTATGCTATCCAAAACTAAAAAAAATGTTTGTAGTTTCCCCTACAATATGTACCAGTTCCGACTTACATACAAATTCAACTTAAGAAAACCTACAGTCCCTATCTTGTACGTAACCCGGGGACTGCCTGTACTCTTCAAAATGGCTTCCCCTGTTCAGCATGACTGTCACATTACGCGTGTGAGATCCAGCCAGCAGGGTGGGGCCTGCAACAGAATCTCTTTTACCTCCGTGCCTGGCACTTGATAAAGCAGAGCACATGAACGAGTCAGTAAGTATCAGTAACAGTAACTGAAAATGAGTAAGACAGAGGTTGCACATTGTCTGCCCAAGTGAGAATATTTATGCCATCACCTACTCCCAGTGCTGGGGGACGAATTCAAATTAACACTCACCTGCTTGTCCTATCTGAGCTTTCCGTGCAGACATGCTGCATAGGTGCTTTCTTCCATTTCTTGGCTTCCATTACAAGAGCTTCGGCGTTCACCAGACCATATCCATATAGGTGGCTAACTGAAAAGAACGACGACTCAGAAATTTACTTGCTTAAAAGATATTAAAAAGTCACTTATGGGGTGGAAAAATGGTTCAGCTCTGGCTCTTGATTTCTCAGAGAGGAATAAATACTAACCATGCCAAAAACTTGATCCAAACGTCACCATTTCCCATGGCACAGGCTCTACTGCCTTAGGGAAACTCTTCCCATCAAAATCCTTAGGGCTACGTCTAGACTGCAAGCCTCTTTCCAAAGAGGCTTTTTCGAAAGATATTTTTGAAAAAGCCTCTTTTGAAAAAGCGTCTAGACTACAACCAGTACTTTCGAAAAAGCAAGCCGCTTTTTTGAAAGAGATCATCCAGGCAGTCTGGATGCTCTCTTTCGAAAAAGCACAGCTTGCATCACACAGCGCCTTTTTTTGAAAGAGCACTTTCGAAAAAAGGCGTTATTCCTCATGAAACAAGGTTTACCGTGGTCGAAAAAACTGCCACATTCTTTCGATTTACTTTCGAAAGAATGCGGCAGCAGTCTAGATGCAGGTAAAATAATGCCCTGTTCTACGCGGAACAGGGCATTCTCAGCTTTTGCTCCCAGGCTGTGGAATTCTCTTCCTCGGGATATTCACATGGCGCCAACGCTAGCTTTGTTTCGGTGTCAGGTTAAAGCCACCCTTTGTACTTGTGCTTTTATTAATGTTTGAGTCTGTATGTGTGCACGTTCCTCCTCTCTATATGTTTTTAGCTGGTTATGTCCGTCTGAGGTCTCATATTTTAAATTCTCCTGTTTTAAATTTTTATATCTATTTGTATTTTTGTTTGTTTGTTCTTGTAAGCCGCCTTGAATATTTTAAACAGAAAGGCGGGGAAAAAATATTTAAATAAATAAATAGATCAAGTTTTTTCAAAAAACGCCTGCAGTCTAGACACACCCTGGGAGACATCTGTTAAACTTGCTGTGGTAACTTCCTCACTGACCACCCCGTTCAAACGACACAAGAGGAAGGAGTCTGTTGTCTTTCAGTGTTGCCACTGGGGGACTCATACTCCAGGCTTTCCCATGAACTTGTTCCACAAGTGGCAAGAGATGTATCTAGTGATGGAGGTTGCAACACAATCTATCTAGGCAATTTTAAAGTCCCCGTCACTGTGGTGGTGGTCTCAGACTGGCCCGCCAATGGGGAAAAGGGGCGCAAAGGGGCAATTGCCCCGGACTTGGCGTTTCAGAAGGGTCCAGGGCCCTGAGCCTTTTACATCATGGCTCTTAGGGCTGCATGGAGAGGTGATTGACACATGCTCCGGACAGCTCTGAGGTGGGGGAGAGGGGCAGAGAGAGGAGAAAGGCGCATTGCGATCCAGGTGGCATGGACGGCTGGCTTCCCCAGTCCCATCCTTTCCGCCCCAGGACCTGCCCTTTTTGGGGGCACAGAGCTGCCCCTTCACACCTTGCCTGGGGGCCCACAGAGGCAATCTGCTGCCCTGGTCTCATGAACCCTCTTGTGAATATTGATCGCCCTCCGGAGATCCATGTGGATGGGAACAGTCTTGCAGATAAAAACGTCTGTATTCAACCTTTTGCAAAGGAATGAACAGGAGGTAACGGGAAGGCCAGCACGGGGAAGCCGCAGGTTTTAGTTGCAAGAATCTCTCTCTGCTTCTGCCTCGCATGAATTATGAGATGATCAGTGCACTTCAGTGGGTTCTAACTCCTATCATCTTCTTATACTGTGGAAGGTCACGGGGGTGCCAATCAGAATCAACTCCTCTGTGGAAAGGTGTTGAACAAACGGCCAGGACACTAGAACCTAAGAATGCGCCTGGAACCCTTTTCATATGTAAAGAATTGCAGCCCGAAGTGAGCACACAAGCATTAGCTGCACAAAGAACTATCGCTCCATATGTACTGCGTCTTCCAGCCACACTCCTGAGAGGTTAATAAGCAGGCTTCCCACACTATTTCTCTGGGCCAGGTTCAATAACAGCTCCGCTCACCTCTTACACTGCAGAGCTTAAAAAAAATAACTGTGGTTGAAGTTCGACAGAATATAGATCGGATTCACTCTAATCCTCCCTCTCAGAGGTGACTACAGTTCATCACGCTGCACCCGTGTTATGAAGCTATTATTTATGCTGCAGTCAGTAATGAACCTGGGAGGCGTGTACACAGGCTAGACACGTCTTCAATCATTACTGGACCTGACGATTTCAGAAACAGCCCCAAATCCTTTCCTCACATACTTTAGACTCCCATGGGCATTAACTGGAATTACACACGTGTTCTGCGAGAAGAGGAGAACGGCAGCTCCTCTCTGTGGGTATTATTAATGAGGTTACTAGGGCCTTGCGAGTGTGTGTCACACACATACCCAAACTGATTTTCCATTTGATAAAGCCATGTCCCACAAAGCCCCAAAGGGCAAACTGCCAACACTAGGGGTACGTCTAGACTACATGGCTCCCTCGACGGAGCCATGTAGATTTGTTTGTTTGGCAAAGGGAAATGAAGCCGTGATTTAAATAATCGCGGCTTCATTTAAATTCAAATGGCTGCCCCGCTCTGCCAATCAGCTGTTTGTCGGCAGATCAGGGCAGTCTGGGTGCTACTCTGGACGCTCCCCTGTCGACATGAAAGCCCTTTATCGACCTCCCCGGTAAACCTCATCCTACGAGGCATAACAGGGAGGTCGATAAAGGGCTTTCAGGTTGGCGCAGGAGCGTCCAGACTAGCGCGCTGCGCCGACAAACAGCTGATCAGCTATTTATTTAATTATTTAAATTGCGGCTTCATTGCCCTCTGCCGATCAGCCTAATCTACATGGCTCCATCGACGGAGCCATGTAGTTTAGACACACCCTAGGGTATAGCGTCTCCCAAAAGGTTTCTACTGTGAGAGCATTGACCATGCCATAAATGACACTGCTATACATGTTAGTCTCTATATTCTCTATTACTTTCTCTATAGCCACTTTACTCCTGGGGGAATTTGGAAAAATAAAATAAAATTCTGCACACAATATTTTAAAATTCTGCCTTATGTTATTAATCAAAATAACACTATAGAATCTCACCATTTTTAATTATTTTGGTAATTTATTTCAAAATATCTGCCAGCAACTATGTAACAATAGAGACAACACTAACAACAACAAGAAGATTCCCATAGGAGCAAAGACCTAAAGAAACTAGGGATGCTTATCAGATAGTCAGTTGACTAGTTGATTCCTCCGCCCCTCTGCTGCCTTTATCAGATAGAGCATGGGTTCCCAAACTAGGGGGCATGCCCCCCTGGGGGCGTGAAGAAATTCCAGGGGGGGCGCGAGGCGACCCAGCCACACACACCCCCGTCAATCCCACCCCAAGTTTTGCTGCTATTTTTTGGGAGGGGGGGCATGATGCTAAAAAGTTTGGGAACCACTGAGATAGAGGCAGCAAGGGGGGAGGAAGAAGGGGTACTTCAAAGGGGCAGCGCTACACCGCTGAGCCCACGTGCAGCAGCGTTCAAAGGGGCAGCACCACACAGCTGATCCCTGGCTCAGCTGTGCGGCGCTGCCCCTTTGAAATGCCACCTAAGCTTTTGAGAGGGACAGCGCCGCACAACTGAGCCCGGGATCAGCTGTGAGGCGCTGCCACACATGGAGCCCGTCCCCAGCTGTCCGCAGGTTCTGGAGAAATGCCACACGGAACTCAGCATTTCCATGGAACCCGGGATTGGCTGAGGAGTCCCCAATAAATACATTAAAAGCAAGAGGAAGACCAAGGACAGGGTAGGCCCACTGCTTAGTGAGGAGGGAGAAGCAGTAACAGGGAACTTGGAAATGGCGGAGATGCTCAATGACTTCTTTGTTTCGGTCTTCACCGAGAAGTCTGGAGGTGTGCCTAACGTAGTGAATACAAGCAGAGAGAGGGTAAGTTTAGAAGATAGGATACACAAAGAACAAGTTAAAAATCACTTAGGAAAGTTAGATGTCAGCAAGTCACCAGGTCCTGATGAAATGCATCCCAGGATACTCAAGGAGCTGATAGAGGAGGTATCTGAGCCTTTAGCTATGATCTTTGAAAAATCATGGCAGACAGGGGAGATTCCAGAAGACTGGAAAAGGGCAAATATTGTGCCCATCTATAAAAAGGGGAATAAGAACAACCCAGGAAATTATAGACCGGTCAGTTTAACGTCTGTCCCAGGGAAGATAATGGAGCAGGTAATTAAGGAAATCATATGCAAACACTTGGAAGGTAATAAAGTGATAGGGAATAGCCAGCATGGGTTTGTGAAGAACAAGTCATGCCAAACTAATCTGATAGCTTTCTTTGATAGGATAACGAGCCTTGTGGATAAGGGAGAAGCGGTGGATGTCATATACCTAGACTTTAGTAAGGCATTTGATACGGTCTCGCATGATATTCTTATTGATAAACTAGGCAAATATAACTTAGATAGGGCCACGATAAGGTGGGTGCATAATTGGCTGGATAACCGTAGTCAGAGAGTTGTTGTTAACGGTTCTAAATCCTGCTGGAAAGGGATAACAAGTGGAGTTCCTCAAGGGTCTGTTTTGGGACCCGTACTGTTCAATATCTTCATCAATGATGTAGATATTGGGATAGAGAGTACTCTTATTAAGTTTGCAGATGATACCAAACTGGGTGGGGTTGCAACTTCTTTGGAGGATAGGGACATAATTCAGAATGACCTTAGCAAGTTAGAGAAATGGTCAGAGGTAAACAGGATGAGGTTTAATAAGGAGAAATGCAGAGTGCTCCACTTAGGAAGGAACAATCAGTTCCATACATACAAGATGGGAAGCGACTGTCTAGGAAGGAGCATGGCGGAAAGGGATCTAGGGGTCATAGTGGACCACAAGTTGAATATGAGTCAACAGTGTGATGCTGTTGCCAAAAAAGCAAATATGATTCTAGGTTGTATTAACAGGTGTGTTGTAAGCAAAACTCGTGAAGTCATTCTGCCGCTCTATTCTGCACTAGTTAGGCCTCAGCTGGAGTACTGTGTCCAGTTCTGGGCGCCACATTTCAAGAAAGATGTGGAGAAATTGGAAAGGGTACAGAGAAGAGTGACAAGAATGATTAAAGGTTTAGAGAACATGACCTATGAAGCCAGGCTTCGTGAACTGGGCTTGTTTAGTTTGGAAAAACGAAGATTAAGGGGGGACATGATAGTGGTTTTCAAATATCTAAAAGGGTGTCACAAGGAGGAAGGAGAAAATTTGTTTCTCTTGGTTTCTGAGGACAGGACAAGGAGTAATGGGCTTAAAGTGCAGCAGGGGAGGTTTAGATTGGACATTAGGAAAAAATTCCTAACTGTCAGGGTGGTCAAATATTGGAATAAATTGCCAAGGGAGGTGGTGGAATCTCCCTCTCTGGAGATATTTAAGAACAGGTTAGATAGACATCTGTCAGGGATGGTGCAGACAGAGCTTGGTCCTGCCTTGAGGGATGGAGGCTGGACTCGATGACCTCTCGAGGTCCCTTCCAGTCCTATTATTCTATGATTCTATGATTCTAAGTGCCTATCGACTAGTCGAGTAGTCATCGACTACGCGACTAGTAAAATAACCAATAGTTAACACCCCTAAAAGAAACCCCCATGACAGTTTGGTTTCTCTTTCTCTGCCTCATCTCTCTCCAAGCTTCCATGGTGCCAGACACCCACACCCTATCACCTCAGGGCCCAGCCATAGAGCACCCCACAGCCTAGACTCCAGCACCCTTCCTCCCCCCAAACCAGCTGTGTGATTTCCCAGCTTCCTTCATGGTGTGCCAGGAATGGAAGCTGTTGGGGACCCTCCATTTCTGTTCCTTCTCCTCCCTCGCCCAGCAGTGTCTTCTATTTGCAAGCTGGAGAGCTGGGCTCAGCTGGGTCCAGTGGGCGCAAGTGGCTCTGCAGCACCACTTCTGGGAGGAAAAAGGAAATTCTGCACAGAATGTTAATTCTGCTCAAATTCTGCTTTGCGCAATGGTGCTGGAAGTCCCCCGGGAGCACCATTTGCACCGAAGGATGCTCAGCCCAGTCCACACACACAGTCTGCCTCACCTTTGCGCCCTGCTCCATTTGTTTTCCAGTCGTTTGCTTTCAGATGCAGTGGCCTGGAGGTTTTCACAATCAGATGCTGAACATCTCTCCAGGTCAGCGAGGGGCTAAAGTAACAACGGAGTGAAGAAACAAAAATGACAGGAAGCCTTCAGAATAGTGATAGAAATGTAGCCGTGTTAGTCTGGTGTAGCTGAAACAAAATACAGGACTATGTAGCACTTTAAAGACTAACAAGATGGTTTATTAGATGATGAGCTTTCGTGGGCCAGACCCACTTCCTCAGATTAAATAGTGGAAGAAAATAGTCACAACCATATATACCAAAGGATACACTTAAAAAAAATGAACACATATGAAAAGGACAAATCACATTTCAGAACAGGAGGGGGATGGGGGGGAAGGAAGGTAAGTGTCTGTGAATTGATGATATTAGAGGTGGGGAGAGTGGGATGTTTGTGAGTTAATGCAGTGAGTTAATGATATTAGAGGTGGGGAAGGGTAGATGTCTGTGAGTTAATAGTATTAGAGGTGATAATTGGGGAAGCTATCTTTGTAATGGGTGAGATAATTGGAGTCTTTGTTAATTCCCCTGCAGAGAGTGTCGAATTTTAGCATTAATGCCAGTTCAGAGGATTCCCTTTCAAGTGCAGATTTGAAAGTCTTCTGAAGTAGGATGCATGTGATTAGGTCATTGAGACAGTGTCCTTTCTGGTTGAAATGACAAGCAACTGTTTTTTCTTTGTGATCCTGTCTAATGTCTGTTTTGTGGGCATTGATTCTTTGGCGAAGTGTCTGAGACGTTTGTCCAATGTACATAGCAGACGGACACTTTCGGCACATGATAGCATAGCCGAAGAAACAACTTTCAACACTGTCAGCTACGAGGGGAGGGAGGGGGTAACAAACTTTCTGAGTCCCAGAGCAAGATGAAAGGGACACAACTCTGTGCTCCTAGATGGGGCGGAGCCTCAAGTGGAAGGGGCGTGGCTGGGAAAGCCAGCCCTCAAAGCTGCCCAGTGTGTGCTGCTCAGAGCTCCAGTGGTGATTTAATAGGCTGTGGTAGTTGCCAGGCCCTGGATCTTTTGAATCGCCAAACCAAGGAGCAACTACCCCCTTTTTCTCCCCTTGTCGGTGGGCCTGGTTAGCTGCATTCAGATTTGACTGTTCTGTAGTGTAAACACATACATGGCTGCACGGAGGAGACTGCTGCAGCTACATCTTCCCTTCCCGGGTAAAGGAAAAGACAGCATCATTCAGTGCTAGATAGAAGAGGGCTTTTCTCCCATTCATATTAAAATACAGGGCAAAGTAGCTATTTAAATGTGAACATTATGTGTGGAAATTTAAAGAAGCTTTTGGGTTTTTTCCCCTATTCTGGAATAGTTATTGAGTTACCTGAGTTCTAGCAAAGCAGCAATGGGATCAGGAGAAGCACACCGAAATACTGGCACTGGAGGGAATGTGTACGGGGCCGTGGGTATCAGACAGGGGGAGGCACTGTCTTCCCAAACGGCCAGTATGGCCCTGCCCACGCTCTGCCCCGACTGGCGTACTGGGGGTGGAAAGTGGCTGCCTCCAGTGCCCGCCCTCTCTGGTGTTCCAGGGCTGGGGGCGCTTGGGTCATGCACCCTCCTCGTGGTGCTCGGGGACCGGGGGTCATGCATCCCCCCACTTCCCCATTGTGATGGGGGGGCAGGGCTGGGGGTTTGCCTCCCCCAGCCCTATCTTCACCCCCCACCCATGAATATGTAATCGGATGGCCGACAACATGTGCGGTGATTCATTGCAGGCTAAATGTATTGAAAGCTCATGCTTCAGAACAGATTGCCACATGGGGGTCAGGAAGGAACTCGGCGGTAGGGAACAGAATACATTTGGGTGTAGTTTGGCCATCTTCCCCCAAAAGAACAGGCTTTGGTCACTGCTCAAAGCAGAGTACTTGACCTGATGGGAGCAGGTATGGCCAACTCCACATTCCCGTAAATAACATGTCCTATGGGAAACAAACCAGGCTTCTCATTTGGCATAACAATCAAAGCAGGCCATAAGTGAGATGTAGATAGCATTCAGGCATTGTGTTGACCCTGTGAATTGAGGTGAATTTCACTTACTGTGCTTACGGTCTAACTCTTTATAAGAATCACCGCTCAGAGGTATTTTTCAAGCATTGTTCTCGCTTTCCTCCTACAGCTGCTACCTTAAGCCTCTTGAGTTTTGATTTATAATTCTATCCACAGCATTTAACCAAAGAAATTCAATTTATTTCTTCTGGTAATAATGGACCATCTGAGTGCTTGCATCTCCAACGTGCCATTTAATGTTGCATTTTATGCATCAGCAAAACCATCCAAAAATTACATTGAACTCTCTTTGTGTATTTGTAATGAAAATGGCACCGCCTCAAATGTGTTTCTCTGACATGGGGTCCCTCTATTTAAAATGGATCCAAATATTTAAAACTAGGGGAAGCAAAATGAGGACAAACGTCGTCAACTCGGCCAGCACTGCTTCGAGCCCTCTGTGAACTCCAGCGCATAAACGTAACGAATTATTTGTCTCTGACTGTGGACTCGCAGTTGCCTACAATACATTAAGTGGCTGCAGGCGCCGGAGTCACAGCGTGGATGTCAGCAGCCTGGGTTCGTTTTTCTCTAAAATCATTATGTGGTAGCAAAGGCATCAGCTACGCTCATTATGTGAGAGAAGAAACAATCAACAGAGAAACGTAGAGACGCCAAGGCTGCTTTTCCAGAGAGACGGACACCTTTTAAGATGCTAAGTTTTGAGTGTGCTCTGTTTGGGCTTGACCCTGAAACTCTGAATGCGATAGGGGCTTTGCCATAGGCACCCATGGGAGCCGGAGCAGGCCCTTTAACGGCACCATCTTCGAATCTCCACGAGAGAACCTGTCTGATCACGCCTCGGTGTGTAGCAGCTGCAGTAAGATGGAAAAGCCCCTTTCCCAGGCATGCACTTTCCCTCCATCCTTAAAGCAGCAGTAGTGTCAAGCGAGGTGACCCCATTGCTGGCTGAGTCCGTCCTCTGGGGAGCCCATTACTCCTGGATCTGCACCGGATACCGCTCAACTCGTAGGTCTTTGTTTACATCTCCACACGCCTGACGGTCGGAGTTCTGCTTCTTTCACACACTCTCCTCTCTGCGCTTGTGATACAGTAGAAACTATGGGAGACCTGATGACATGGGGGGAGCAAAGGGGGCAACATCCCCAGGGCCCCGGGATCCCAGCTGCCTCTGCTTCTGTGTCAGGCCTTTTAAATGGCTGCTGACGCCCCATGTGGTGAGCTGCAGAGCCCTGGCAACATGCTCTGGATGGGGCTGAGGTGGGTGTGGTTTGGGGAGGTGTCGAGGGCTCCGCCCCTTCAGTCTGAGGCCCCGCCTCTTCCAGGAGCACAGGGATGCTGTCCTCCCCCCACTTATTCAGGGGCCTGGCAAGTCTGTCAGATTCGACACCCCTCTGGTCTGAAAATGGAGGTTGGTAGCAGGGTACAATCAATGGTGGTGGGTCAGCTCTGAGCACTCAGCGGGGTGGGAGGGCTCAGCTCTGGGGTATGCTATCCTCTTGGTCTGTTAAAACATAGGCTGAAAGATCTTCTGGTTACATCCTGGAGTTTATCTTCTCCATGGCAGGAGAGAGATGGGGGTGGATGGAGAAAGGGATTCAAATGGAAAGGAGGGGTTGAGGTTGGGAAGGGATTTCAATTCTCCAAACATAACCCATTTAAAAATGGAGCCAGTCAAAATATTTTGCATTAAAAAAAGTGCCCCCCCCCCCCCCCCCACCCATGAAATATTTTGTGAAAAACTGACAACATTACAGCCATGTTCCGTGTCACATGAAACTTCCTGTGACATTTTTAGCCACAATTAAAATTTTGCGAGAAATAGAACATGGACCCGCATAAAACTTAGCAGGACAGAATCAAGTTTGCAATTGATCATGAAATCAACTCCCCATTTCAGCCAGCTCCATTAGAAAGATTGAAACGTCTCTCCAGCTCTGATTCCACACATATGCAAGGTAGAAAGTGGCCAACTGGGAAGGCAAGAGCCAACTTACTTTGCTTCTAAAGCCAAAGCGATGATGCCCGTCACAATGGGTGCAGACACGGAGGTTCCAGTGTGACCTTCTGTGCAGCCATGTCTTAAATCTGTAGTAACCTAATGACAATGTTATTGCAGCTAATCATTGTGGTAGGAGCAGATTTCTATACACTATGATCACAAATCAGCCCCTGCTCCCTATTACAGAGTGCTGCAGGCACCGACTAATACTCCATGATCAGAGTTTGTTTAAAATGCATCTAGGCAGACCCTGCTGGAAAAGTGTCACCCCTGAGGAGTCACAATGAGAAAGTACGCCTTTGGTGGAATTGGACTGCTGTTGTGCAGGGCGCAGTACAAATTAATCATAAAAAGATGGACACTGCCCTGAAGATCTAACGATCGAAGAAGTTGGGAGACAGCTGGTAACTTATTTAGTCCTGCAGGGGATGGGACTAGGTGACAGTGGCAAAGTTCAGATGAAGGTACATCAACTCCAGCTACATAATTTACATAGGTGGAATTGTATACATTAAGCCACCTTCCCCTGTAGTATATACCCGGCCCTAGTGTTTTCCTAGAGCCCCAGTTCCTGGCGTGATGTGATTACATAAGAACTCAACTTTCAATAAAAAAGAAAAAAATCCTTTCTAGCCCTCATCATTACAGATAAACATTCCATAAAGTGTTTCTAAAGGCTCAGAAACCACAAGTCAAATAAAAAGAATTCAACACAATTTGGTAAAGACTGATTATTTTAAACCTATAATGTTGGAACCTGTCACACCATTTTTGACCTCTTGACTGATGATATGACTGCTCAGGTGAAAGTTAAAGCAAAAAAAAAAAAAAAAAAAACCTTTGGTGTCTCCTGGGCAACATTCCCACTTACCACAAAGCTGTCCTAGTATCTTAGGCTGTTTGCCAGTAAAAAGTACCAATTACTGCACTGCCCAGTATTAACTAACTCTCTGTGTTGTAAAGCAGGCTGAGATACCAAAGTACAAAAGGTGGCAAACCTTAATATCAAACTGTTCGTTAAAAGAAATATGCATCACATTTCCAGAGGAATTGCTCTCCTGGGTGATCAGTTTTGCAAACTGTTGGAGTGGTATTATCTGCATGAATATCATTTAAGATTAGTGGAAAGGGTGTTGTTAGAACTTTGTGTAACACTTTTTGGATGTTCTGTGTCTAGTGTGTCTTTCAGTGGAACCATATCTTCTGAACTCTCTGTAGAACTGGTGTTTAAACACTCAACCCAATTCACTAGCTCTTTAGTTTGGCAGGTGATGAGTAGATCCTGATACATCTACAAATTGAACCTCTCTAGTCCCTTGGGACCTGACCAGTGCTGAACCAGAGAATTTGCCAAATCTCGAGAGTTCAATATTGTTTAGCAGCATTATCAGCACTTCCACTGCTTACTGGGCTCTTAGAAGACATTTAGGGGTAAATTAGAGCTAAATAACAGAACAGAACACTGAGCGCCAAGACTGGTGGCTGTAAACAAATTTTACTGGAACTGTGAGAAACTTGGTAACATCCTTGATAAGAGGACATCCGCTAACTAAAGTCATGCTGGACCATGGATGTTGCCAGTCCAGAGAATGCCAGATTAGAGAGGTTTAACCTGTAGAGTTTTTTTTAATCCCAAATCTGGAAAAAAATTGAAATCCCAATTTTTTTTCAAGAAATAGAAAGTTCTGAAAAATGTCTATTTGGAAGCAGCAAAACATTTTATTTTAACATTTTCCCATCAACATGAAATACTTCAATACTCCCAAACCAAAAAGTTTCATTTCAGTTGGTTGGATGGACTTGAAAGGAAACACTTCAGGTTAGTTCAGCATTAAACTGCATCTCCTTGTGATGCTACATTTCCTCATTTAGTACAGGAACCTGATACCTTTTCTCCTTTGCCAGGGGTGGGCAATAAACGACCCACAGGCCAGATGCAGTTCATCAGGGTTAGCCTCTGGCAGGCTGCCAGACACTTTATTTACCTGCACATCCGCAGATACAGCCCCTTGCAGCCCCCGTTGGCCATGGTTTGCCATTCCTGGCCAATGGGAGCTGCAGGAAGCAGTGTGGGCTGGACTACTGCTTCCTGCAACTCCCATTGGCCAGGAATGGCAAACCATGGTCAATCGGAGCTGCGAGCAGCCAGACCTGTGGACGCGCAGGTAAATAAATTGTCCGACAGCCCACCAGGGACTAAACCTGGTGAACTGTGTCCAGCCCATGGGCCACTTATTGCCCTCTCCTGTCCTATGGCCTGAACTCCCTGGTCAGACTACATCACCCATGATGCATCAGGCAGCTTGCTTGGTCAGAAGGGAGATTGCATTGCATGGGGAATGTAGTCCAGACAGGCACCCCAGTTATAACTCCCATAAGGAGGATATGCAGTTTAATGTGAAACTGATAAGCCAATAGTTTGTTTTGTATTTTCTTAATGAAAAAATAAAAAAAGAGAATGAACCAAACTGAAATTTGCCTATCACAAAATTTGTATTTTGTAAAAACGGTAATGTCCATCGAAAAATAATTTTGATAGACGATTCCCAACTAGCTCTATTGATAAGAGGCCATGGTGGTAAATATTGGCATCGCCTGAGTTTTGAGTTGTGCACAGAGAGTATTATAGTCAAGTATCTAACTATGGATACATTTTTTTTATAGGGAAAACTAGAAACTCTGAAAAAATACCCATGCTGTTCACAGAAAGATTCAATGACACTCAGTGATGGTTTTTCACTATTTCTCCAAGGAAACATTCTTTATTATGATGTTATCATGGGAAGAAATTGAACAGGGGGGACATGGTGGCTGTATCTAGACTGCATCCCTTTTTCGTAAAAGGGATGCAAATTAGACATATCGCAATTGCAAATGAAGCGGGGATTTAAATCCCCCCTGCTTCATTAGCATAAAAATGGCTGCCGCTTTTTTCCGGCACGGAGCTTTGCCGGAAAAAAGCGCCAGTCTAGACGCGGATCTTTCGGAAAATAAAGCCTTTTCTGAAAGATCCCCCCGCGGGGGAAGCAACTAGTTGACTCGTTTACTATCTGATAAGCATTTTCTTATAAGATAGTTGACTAGTCATTCACATCCCTAGTATTCATCAGTTAAGAGGTTTTTTTCCACACGTGAGTGTGAAAAAAATAGAAGTTAACAATTCTAGGGACTAAGTAACTTCACTCAAGTGTTGTACAGTGCACTGTATACGATGTCCCAACATGCACCGGTTCAAGCACATGCTCTTTTGAATTCCAATGCGTTAATATGCCAGTGTTGCTATCCTGCTTCTCACAGGACACAATCTGAGAACTCAAGAGCATGGCCTAGCAGAGCATGGTCTAACAAAAGAGGGACAAGTATATTAAATGACCACCTGCATAATCAACTAAAGGTTGATGACAAAGCTACGCTACTGACCCTGACTTTCCCTGTTGGTTTTGCAGTGTTCAGAGCATAAATTCTGCTTAAACAGAGAAATGAACAAATAAATTCATGCATGATTTTTAGACACTCATCTTCTTGCAGAAAATAATGCAAATCAAGAGATGTAGATTTGTGACTACAAAACTAGGCTTTTCTCCTTCATCAAAATAATAACGAGCGTCCTATGTAAACAGTATGCCTAAAATACCCAGCCCTTTTAATTTCACAGCATTTAAAGCATGTATTTTAGTAAGGCTTTAAAAATCACTTTTAAGATTAAAATAATCTTCTCTTCACTCCAGATACATGAATACTTTTTGTTTTTAAGTCAGCATTAAATTCCTGCTAATTGAATGGAACCACAGATTCACAGATGCAGCTGGATTCCTTGTAATAATTACACATAATAGCTAAGGGGAAGGAGTTCTTTCCATTTTTTTCCTATGGAGTAAGGGATTTCGTGGGGGAGGGGATCAAGGAGGAAGGAAATGTAACAGCTCTTAGGTGTGTATACCTGCTGCCAGATGTGTGCACATGCATTTACTTCTAGAGCTCTATTGAGATACATATCTGGCTCTTGTTGCTGTAGTACCTGTGCACATCACAATCCTTAATGTATTTATCCTCATAATACCGCTCTGAGATATGGCGGCCATACCTTGATGTTATTCTATTAACAATCCATAGAGTTCACTGGTATAAATCCAGAGAAAGTGAGAGCAGAACCTGGCCCTATAATTACAACGTTAAGGCCTCACCCTAGAAACATGCATACGTTTAACTGTTAGTGCACAGGAAACCCCAGTGACTCTAGAGAGAAGTATAGGCCCTGAATGTTTGAAGGATCCTGAATGAAGTGTAAAAAATCTAAACCAGAACTGAATGTAAATCCCAAAAAGAAAGTCTATTGAAGTAAGGACTTCTACAGAACTTACTTCAAACAGGGATTTACTTCACTGTGTTACCTTTCATCCCACAGTGATTTTCAACTAGGATCATTTCATCCACTACTTCAACCCAGTTGCCTCTGGGGTGAAACACAGCAACAGCGCCACATAACGGTGCCCAGCAGTTTTTAGGAGAAATGTGAATAACTTAATCATTTTGCCCTTTTGCAATTTAGTCAAATCTAAACCACAGAGGAAGCAGGAGGCAGGTACAGAACTCACAATTTTTTGTTCGTAAAATGCCCCGCTGCTGTAGGTGGTCGCGAGAGTGGACGTGCATTCCTCTAGATACCATGGCTTGAGCCCACTGTCCGTGCTGCTGCTGATGGAGATGGTGTAGATGCTGTTGGTGTAGCCATCACAAGAGCAGTAATCGCCTTCTCTGCCGCCATTTCCTGAGGCCCAGACAAAAATGGAGCCCAAACCCTTACGACCCTAAACAATCAAACAAAACCATCGATAGGGAAACACACAGTCACCAAGAATAAACCTCGGACACCTTCTCTGGGCTTAACCCACAGCCATCCTGCATTCCCCACACACCCCATTCCTTCTCCCCACGGTCAAACTCTCCTTTATAACATGACCCACTCTGAAAAAGAACCATACCGTACTCAGTGAACATTTACACAGGTTTTTTTTAAAGTGACTGGCATTCTTAAAGGCAGGAACTACCCCAAAGGACGGCAAAGCATGGATGCAGGGGCTCTCGGGACTTCTGCAACATGGTCAAAGGGCAGATATACTGGAGATCGGGGATCTCCTCCCTCAGCAAGGCAGAAAAACGAGGACGTAGCAGGTGTCCACGACAGGGTGCTTTTGGGCACCTGGCATCAGCAATAAGACTGGAAGCCAGCTGCAGCTACTTCCTTCACACCTTCTCAGGACAGAGGCGAGAACTTCTTTGACTCTTTTGCCTGGCACACGTACAGCTCCAAAAAGAGAACTTGTAAAGGATCAGAGCGGCTCCGTTCCCTTTCCCTCTAGTGGAAAAAACCTGCCCTTTCCTCTAACCATAGCTTACAGCCTACATTGGGCAGGGCAGTTGCAGCTAGCTCGCTTAGCTGCTGCAGGCACAAAGCCTGAGTCTGAATTCAGTCCTGATTTTAATTCTGCTGGGGAAGAAATAGGGAAGTGAAAGGTTAACTGGTTAATCGGTAAGCATCACCCGTGAAGCTCTGGGGGTCTGTGGTGGGCCTGGGTGCCAGGGGGCCACTCCAGTGCAACCAGGCTGGAGCATCCGACCCCTCTGTAATGGGTTAACCAACTGAAGGGGATTTTACATCCCTAGTGAGAAAGTGGGATCGAAGTGCTCAAAGAGGTGACGTGTTCTCTGGGTCCAAAGCCTCTCCTGAGCCAAAGGAAACTGTGATGAGAGGAAAGGAAGAAATTGAGTAGTCAGGGCTACATAGGACCACTCCGAACTCTAACAGGAGGAGCCTCCGGCCTCAGCCCCTGGTGAAAATCCACTAGGCTCTTGCTTAAGAACAAGAGGCGTGACGGGACAGAGGACATGGCCTTGGGACATGTTTAGACATAGTGGCATGGGCTGGAGCTCATATTTGGCTCTCATTTGCCCCAGTGCTAATCAGGGAGGACTCTGCTGTCTGACATCAATGGACTGAGACTCGTCAACAAGACAGTGAGAGTTGGGTTTTGACATTAAAAAGCAAATCTCTCTCCCTCCCCACTACCACCGCTCAACAGGTGGGGAACAATTTCTAAGGATCTGCGAGAGGGCGAGGTGAAATCACAATGGTGACCAAGCTCTAGGAATAGCTGAGCACATCCCAGCTAAGACATTAACATCGGCTGCGAAGCTTGTTAAATGGTGGCTGATACAGACGTCTTTCATGTTCCCAGCTCCATCAGCGGGGAGGGTGTCACATTATTGGATTTTGAAGGGAGCAACCGGGTCACTGCTGCACCCATGGGGGGGTGTTCGCCCCAAAAGTTAGTACAAAGGGGGGCATGTGAGGGGTCAAATAGAAGCTTACTTTCTTCTGATTCCATATATGCTATTAATGTAATTGTATAATGTCTGTGTGTGAAGTTATAAGCATGTACTTTGTGTGGATACCAAATGTTTCTCTATATGTGGTTGAACTATGGAAATGCTAATGAGCAAAACTCTGGAACAATAGCCCTCTATAGGCCAAGGACACACCTCATACCTAGGGGCTACCAGCAGGGAACACAGAGATAGGCCACTGGCCAGGTGACCTGCTGCAGCCAAGAAGAGACCAGAAAGGAAGTATAAATATGCCATGTGGCCGACTCCATGTTGGTCTTCAGATCTGCTTCTGACCCCAGATGCGGCCTGGCAGGGAATCACGAGCCAGGAAGAACTGTGGACCCATCCAGACATAGGATGTGCAACAAGGACTATTAAGCCAGCAGTTATAACATCTCTGCTAGAGCCTGCATTGAGAACTGGGAGATTCGATGCATGTAATGTATGATTCTTTAACAACCTTACTCTCATGCTTTTCTTTCTTGTGGTAATAAACCTTTATATTGTAGATTCTAAAGGACTGGCTCAGCGTGGTTTGTGGGTAAGATCCAGAGAATAAATTGGCCTGAGATCTGTGGCTGGTTTCTTGGAACCAGACAGAACTTGTTTGGGGTAGGTGGGATTGGGGGGTATGAGGCCCGGGGCTATCTGGGGCATGGATATTGCTGAGGTGTCAGAGTGGTTTTGCTCATGAGGCTTCAGGCAGGCAGCTGAAGCGCTGTGGGACTGGTTTGTGGCCTATTTGGGAAGGTCTCCAGTCTGGGGGCTAGAGAGCGCCCGAATTTGAGCAATTCGCCCTAAGCGGACGTCCTCAGCTGTGCCCAGACCCGGTCTGGTCCATCACAGAGGGATTGCAGGGACCCTAGGCTGGGGCATGTAAGCCCTTCACTTGTCCTTGTAGGCACATCAGGTAGGTCATGCTAATCAATGACCCATGTGCGTTTTTGGCAATAGCAGCTGGGCAGGGCATCCTTTCACTACAGGGTGGCCAGTAGTTAAGGGCTGTCTACTGGAGGATAAATTAAAAAATAGCAGTGAAGCTACAGCCGAAAAGCTAGAGCAGTTCCTAACACAACTGTTGCAAACCCAGAATGTTGTTCCATTGGCTTACGCTGACTTACACAATGGCATAGACTTCAGTACCTTTTAAAATCAGCGGTGCCTTCCTCTGAAATGGGTACTTTGCTTCTCTGTCCCACTTTCCACAACTCAGACTCTGAGTGGCAACTGGATTAAGCCCATTTAGCTTGACAGTCGTCCACAAAGAGCAATGAAAGGGCTAGAGCGGGGTCTCCAACCTTTTTAAGCACAAGATCACTTTTTGAATTCAAATGTAACCAGGGTCTATCTCAAACCCAAACACCCTTGCTCCACCTCCTTCCTGCCCCTTCTCCAAGGTCCCATCTCTGTTCACTCCATCCTCCCTCCCCCATCCTCACTCACTTTTATCAGGCTGGGGGCAGGGGCTTGGAATGCAGGAGGGATTCAGGATTGGGGCCGGGGTTTGGAATGCTGGCTCCAGCTGGGCACCACTGACCATGGGTGGCTTCCAGGTGGTGGTGCAGGGGGCTAAGGCAGGCTCCCCCCTACCCAGGCCCTGCACCACTCCCAAAAGCAGCCAACAAACTCTCTGCATCCCTGCTCCCCTCCGCTCTGTGTAGATGGGGTACAGGGAGGAGCACACTGACATCAGCACCCCCCCCTTCCTCTTCTTCCCGTGCCCTACACAGCAAGCAGGAGGCTCCAAGGGGCGAGGGGCACCTTGAAGGCAGAGAGCAGGAGCAGCACAGCTGTGCGAAGAGGGGCAGATGAAGTGCCGGCACTTGCCAGCCTCCCGGCCAAACCTGTCAGGATCACCTATCAAAGGTTCCAAGATCTACCAGTAGATCCCACTCATCTAGTTGGTGACCACTAGGCTAGAGGAAGAGTTGCTGGGGCAGTACCCAGCCATTTGGGGTCCTCCCCTTAGAGCTGGCATCTGCCAGGGAGATGTTTTCAAGCTGATCTCTGCCTACAAATTGCAGAGGAATCCACAACAGGCTTCCTCTAGCAGAATCAGCTCCAAGAGTAGGTTTTGTTCCGAGTGTTCAAGGCAGAGGGATGTTTATGACCTGCCTTGTTCTGCTGTTGGGCTGGTAATTTCTGTGTTGACCCTGCCTCTGGATACAAAGGGTAAATTGGGTTGATATCCTCACTGTGTTTAGGTTTTCATTATCTGGCCTGCCTCACAACCACAAAAGGAGGTGAATTCCATAGGAAAAATTAACAGAGTTGTCTGCAGGTCAGCAGGGGAAAATACAGCTTGATAGCCAAATTGTTCTGCCATCCTCTACCCACAGAGAATTCTACTTTGATACGAAGTGTATTGACTCTTTGGCAGACTGCTACTGGTACCTCAATGCATCACGTTTCAGCATGGCTGTAAAGTCTCTCTAGGGTTTTCTGGATCTATTAAATCTTGATATCCTAAGACAGGCTTTGGTCTAAGTGCACAGCGCAATCAGCTCAAATGTGCTAGCTCTGTCTCCACAGGCCCTGGCAAGTCTCCCGTAGAGAAACGTTGTAGCCACGCTTTGTCAGTCTGGTTGTGCAACATTTTGTAACCTGGCACACTTCAGAGCTGGATGTAGCAAAAAGGTGCTATTAGGTGATTGTCTATTAAAAGTTAAAATCTTCCAAACTACTAAGAAAAAAGTTGGACAACTCAAGGTACAGTCTAACATTTTCTTAACCACTGTTCAGATGACCAAGAAATCAGCCACCAGTTGTGAAAGGTATACAAAGGGGAGATTTACAATTAATTCTGTGGTGGATAAGGATGCAAGGAGCTAACGTTTTCCCTTGTGTCCTTTGTGAATCACAAAGAGCTAGAACTGTGAAAGTTCAAGTGTTAATCATGATTAACATGATTTCCGAACATCCGAACTAGAGCTGGGTGATATTTTTTTACTAAAACTTTTTTAATGAAAAAATGCAGTCAGCAACACCAAAACATTTTGTAAAGGAACCAGGGGGGGGGGGGAAGGAGGGAAAAAAAAGCAAGTCCAACATTTTGTTTCCACGTGTTTAAAATGAAACATTTTGATATTTTGATTCAAATTGCTTTTCTGTTTAGAAACATTCTCCAATTTTATTTTAAAATGCACACAAAAAAAATACCTCTCAAACTGAAGCAAAACATTTCACTCTCATAGACCCTAATTTTTTTAAAAAAATATTTTTCAGTTTACAAAATATTTCAATTTTGGTTCAATTCTAAATAATTTCCCCCCAATTTTTCAGAATTATCAGCAAACTAAAACATTCAGTAGTCACACCTCATATCTGATTCACGCTGCACATCAGAATATGCTCAGAACAGATAGTAATAGATATGTAGCCGTGTTAGTCTGGTCTAGCTGAAACAAAAAACAGGACTATG